CTCGGCCCCTGCTGTGCGGGCCCTGGGCCTGGACAGGGCAGCAGGACACTGCTATGATGAGGCCATTCAAGCTGGAATCCCGAATACAGTCCAGACTTGCAAACTCTGAGAGCTGTCACGACGCAAGTGCAGGTCCCATCAACTGCAAGAGCAGTGATGCAGAATCCGCAGCAAAGCACCAGCACGCAGAACTCTTCCCCCTCACTGCAGATGCAGTGAGATGCCAAGCACTTCCCTGGGGACTTGGGGTCTGAAAGGCAGGCTCTGGCAGGGATGTTGTGAGCTGAATTGTATCTAACGCAGTAGCTTCCGGCAGCTGGCTGGGCAGAGGAGGTGACCTTCCCTGTCATCCATGTTGACATGCCTTTTTCCAATGTACCATCTGATTTTTTTTTCCTACACCAGGTTCACTTTTTTAGTAGTCAAATTTAAGTCATTAAAAATTTCCCTTGGGATTTTTGAAGTTCAATAGTACCCCCAAACAGGGACTTGCATCCATCCATTTTAGTAGCAAAAATTACCAAAGTAAAACCTAACTTGGAAAACTATTAATGATTCAAGATGGTGCTCAGTTATATGAAGATTTTTCCCATAAAAATACAACACATGCCAGGCGACGGTGGCTCACGCCTGCAATCCTAGCTACTTGGGAGGCTGAGATCTGAGGATCACGGTTCAAAGCCAGCCCGGGCAGGAAAGTCTGTGAAACTCTGATCTCCAATAAACGACCAGAAAACTAGAAGTGACGCTGTAGCTCAAGTGGTAGAGCGCTAGCCTTGAGCTGAAGAGCTGAGGGACAGCGCTCAGGCCCAGAGTTCAAGGCCCACGACCGACCGACCAAAACAAAACAAAAATACAACACGTTCACTAAAGGATACAGTGTCGGTTAGCTACAGGAGAGTACTTTCTGGAAGGGACTTCATTTCCCCCTCATCCCCAACCCACACAGAACTCAACTCCTCCACACAAACACTCGTCACACACAGGACTCAGAGCCGGCCCACCTACTCAACATTATCTTCTCTCCTGAAAAACCCAGGGAACCCCAGCTTCAAATGGGTGTGAGGGCTGAGGATGCAGGAAGATCTCACGCTTCTCTGCCTGTACTTACCATCCCCGTAACGTGTGTCTCCTCTGCCTTTCTCCTCTTCAGCGATCTGTTCACCAGGCTGGATGGCTAACACAGGTCGGTTTCCAAATCACCCTGCCATCCCTCCTAACATCCCTTCCCCTTGAAGAGAAGGATCCTTGGGCAGGAGCATATTATTCAGATAACAGAAATATATATGGGTCCTTTTCTAATCTGTTCCTAATGCTGAACCTAGTGATGCCAAATGAGTCAAAAATCTATACGCCAAGATTGGGGCTGGGAAGGTGGCTCAGTGGTAGAGCACTTGCCTGGCATGCCTGAGGCCCTGGGTTCGATCCCTCAGCTCCACATAAGCAATAAGTAAAAAGCCGGAAGTGGTGCTGTGGCTCAAGGGGTAGAGCACTTGCCTTGAGCTGAAGAGCTGAGGGATAGTGCCCAAGCCCAGATTTCAAGCCCCATGACCGACAAAAAAAAAAAAAAGGATTCAAAAATCTATACGCCAAGACTAAGTGCTATAGAGCAAGGCAGGCCAGGCTGGCACTGCTTAATATTGTTTCCCAGCTCTACTGTCAAAAGCTAAGGATGAGCGTTTTCAAAAAAGTGCATTATTCCAGTAATACATTGTTTGGGTAGCAATTTTCTTCAGAACTGTTCCAGGAAAACTAAGAAACTCCAGATACTTTATCTTGTGAAAGCTGGGGTCTCTTTTGTCTTCAACAGGATCCAACCCTGTGATTGCTGAGGTATGATGTGAGGTGGGTATTAGTTAACATGCAGAGAGCTGACTCTTTTAACTGGAATATCACTGTATTGTTCTTAATAGCCCTTTTCTTTTTTCTTTTTTTGTCAGTTGTGGGGCTTGAACTCTGGGCCTGGGCATTGTCCCTCAGCTCTTCAGCTCAAGGCTAGCACACTACTTGAGCCATAGCGACACTTCTGCTTTTCTGGTGGTTTATTGGAGATAAGAGTCTCACAGCCTTTCCTGCCCAGGCTGGCTTTGAACCACGATCCTCAGATCTCAGCTCTTGAGTAGCTAGGATTACAGGCGTGAGACACCAGCACCCAGCTTCCTTTTCTTTTTGCCAGTCCTGGGGCTTGTACAAAGGTTTTTGGACTTTTCATCCCCAGTTGGTACTCTACTACCTGAACCACACCTCCAGTTCTGACTTTTTGCCAGTTAATTGGAGATGTTATACATGTCCGCCTGCCTGGCTCCAAATTGTGATTATGATAATCATCGCACCTGCTGAGTAGCTGGGATTACATGAATGAGCCACCAGTGTCTGGCTAACAGCCTCGTTGATGTTCACTCAGCAAAAAGCAATACCTCAAATGGCCTGGTTTCTCTCAGAAGGCTGTGGGGTTGACTTGTTGCAAATACTGACAAAGGATCAGACCCCTTCATCTTTTCTTTGTAGGCAGAGTTTTAGTCTCTGTACTGCCAGTCCAGCCATGTCACTCCCAAGTCCTAGAATCCCTCCCAGACTGCAAGCCATGTCACTGGGCTACGATGAGCCAGTCACCACAGTCACGTAGTAATTGGGGGGAGGAGCAACACCTACTCCACAGACCACGTGTTTCACGTCACGTCTGAATATAAAAATGGTGAACGACTATTTGTAAACAAGCACCTGGCTGGGACAGGAAGAGAAGGTTCTGGGCTTAACTAGAATTATAAACTGTCTGATGCAAGTCACTTCAAGAGATTGCAAGTTCCCACAAGCTCCAATCTGTTAACGTTTTTATTCTCTCTCTCAAAGGAAAAATCTGTTCTCTATGCAACTTGACTTTAAGAATTCAATCATTCCTGATTCCTAGATTATCTCAAAATGTATCTTGCTACTCCACTTTAGCTAAATCCAGTAACATTGACTTGATACTGTTTTTGTTGTTGTTTTGATGCTGAAAATAAAACCCAATGATTTTTCTCTTTTTTGGCAGGGGGGGGGGGAGAAGGGAGGTGTTGGTGGCAGGGCTTGAACTCTGGGCCTGGGCGCTGTCCCTCGGCTCTTCAGCTCAAGGCTAGCGATCTACCACTTGAGCCACAGCGTCACTTCCAGTTTTCTGGTGGTTAACTGGACACAAGAGTCTCCACAGAAGCCGGGCACTGGTGGCTCACATCTGTAATCCTAGTTACTCAGAAGGCTGAGATCTGAAGATTGAGGTGCAAAGCCAGCCTGGGCAGCAAAGTCTGTGAGACTTGCATCTCCATAAACCACCAGAAAATCGTAAGTGGTGCTGTGGCTCAAATGGTAGTGTTCACCTTGAGCTGAGGGACAGTGCCCAGGCCCAGAGTTCAAGCCCCATAACGGGAAAAAAAAAAAAAGTGTTTTACATACTTTGCTGTCTGGGCTGGCTTTGGACCACAATCCTCAAGATCTCAGGCTCCTGAGTAGCTAGGATGACAGGCATGAGCCCCTGGCTCCCAGTGATTTTTAATATCTGTGTTTAGCATACATTAGGTGTCGAACACACTCCACATAGATTTTGTGATGAATGAGACACAATGCTTACCTAGAGCAGTTCCCTCTGAGCAGCAGCCAGACCCTATACACAGCTACCCAGGCTGCCGGACACAAGGGGGACAGAGGCCCGTATGCAGGGAGGCGGCAAGGGCAGCATCGATTCCAGCACGGCAAGAAGACCTCTAGGCTGAGCCTGAGGAAACGGGCAAGTGGGTGGTAATACTTTCTTGGGCAGACCAGAACCAGGACGAGTAAGCCTAGTATCCACCTAAGGGGGCTTTCACTCTACTCCTGAGACTGCGGAAGGCAACAAAGGACCTCCGAAGGCGCTCGGGTGACAAAGTGATCTGATCTGCTTTACAATTACTATGTGTGTGGAGGGAAGTATGGAGGAGTGGAGTGCAACAGGAAGGCCTCAAAGTCATCTGACAGCCTAGACTGGACTGCCAGCTGCACCTCCTCGATGGATGCGCAAATCTGCAAATGCTCCAGTCCCTTGGATAAAAAATGGAGTTTTGTCTGCATCCTGTGCCATCCTCCCCCATACTTTAAACCACCGCTCAATGACTTACAATACCTAATCAATGTGTGTGCCATGTAGAGTGTCACACTGGGCTGGGTGTGGAGCCACATGCCTGAAATCCCAGGTGGAGTGGAAAGATTGCCAGCTGGCTGAGGCCCAACGCAAACCCTATCCAAAAAAGACAAAGCGAAAGGCACTTGAGGTTAAGGACAGAGGAAAAAAAGTGGAGAACAATGGAAGGGAGGGCATTGATCAGGAAGCATTTTTATAACTTACGAAACTGTACCTTCTTGTGCAACTACTTAAGAACAACAACAAAACACAAAGGCCTAGGGCAATGGCTTGGGTACTAACCTTAGCATGTGGCCTGTACTTCAAACCTTAATCCAGCCAAAAAGGTAACAATTCCACCCCCCGAAATACGGTTCTATTGTCCAGGTTACAACCAAATGGCCTAGAACTGTGTGTACGTGGGACTTTCCCCCCACAGTCCACTTGAGTCCAAATGGGTGGGTGGGAGCTTCCTCTTGTGCTGGTATCAGAACTTGAACTTAGGACCTGGGTGCTGCCCTAAGCTGCTTTTCTTTTTTTTCTTTTTTGCTCAAGGCTAGCACTCTACTACTTGAGTCACAGTTTTGTTTCGTTTTGGTCAACAGGGTAAGAGTATTGCAGACTTTCCTGCTCCAGCTGGCTTTCAACTGTGATCCTCAGATCTCGGGCTCCAGAGCAGCTGAGATTACAGGCTTCGGTGTGAGGCACTGCACTTCCCACGTGCTTCCCCTTCTCCCGGGCAGTGGTGGTCCTGGTGACCAGAGACAGCCATGTCCCCCAGGAGGCAGCTCTGCAGACATCCCTGCTCGGGCGGGAGTGTTTTGTGTAGACACAGGCAACACCCATGGCATAAAAAGGATATGCTGACAGAAAGTTTTGTGAGAGCTTTAATGGCACAAAATGTTTATAGCTACAAGTTATACATGAATTGTAAACTGTATAGAATGATACAAAGTGCTAACTAAATAGATGAGAATGCATAATCACTTTGGCTCAGTTCATTCCAATCATTTCACCAATGGTCCACTTAGAAAGCCACCCCCGTGTGGAGCAGTCAACCTTACTGCAGCCCCGCGCTCTGTTCTTCTCACCGAGCATGCGTGCTGTCTTGCTCCCAATTTTATTTACAAGTATTTTAAGCCAGTTTTCACCAAGCGCAAGAAAAATGAAATCTGCCTTTTCATCCCCCAATTGTAAACAGGTGTAAAGCTTTTAAAGCATTAATCTTAAATTGTCCACGGTTATTTATTGAGTTCTCCTTTCCAATGATACAGTTTGTCTGCATTGTGTCCCATAGGAGGGCCACCAGCTCATCATGGTGAGCTCTACTGTGTTCTGGCTGGAATTCCACATCACAGATACTTCGAAAAACACATAAAGCTAAATTTATTTCCAATAGCAAAAACAGTAATATACTCAAAGCTCAGTGGCACTGGTAGACGGCTACTGAGGTTCTCAGGAAGGGAATGCACTGCCTGTCAGTTACTGACTGCTCTCCTTCATGATGCCAATTTCAGCAAAGTGGACACTGCAGTAGTCAGCTTTACCCATCTTGCCAATTTTATCCAGACTTTTCAAAAACCATCCAATCTGCTCTTTTTCTTCCCAAAGAAATCTGAATATGAACACTTGAAATAAATATGTTAGAAGGCAAATCAAGTGTTACAAGGTCTAAGAGTAGGACAGAAACAAGATATGAATGTATTCAGACATCAGATGCTAGAAAGAAAAACCAAGTAATTCAGAAAACTATTTGGGATATATCATCTTTCCTAAAGACAGTCAGCTGTATTCTTGAAAAAAAAAAAGACAAAAAATAATGGTTGTTTCTCTGTGTTGTTTCCATTCTAGCATGAGCACTACCACCTTGGTCAAGGAAGGGCTGGTTTTCTGCAAAGGGCAAAGTTGGCGGCCTGGTGCTACCCTCAGAGACTGCACGATCACCTCAACAATGCTTCTCTAAACACTCAACAGCAAGGTCGACATCATCAACAGCCACTTGTCACATATAACACACACAGCAGTGCCCTTAGGGCCACGCTGTGTTCTGAAATCCAACAAAACCTGCCCAAAGAACCCATAATCCTGCTGCTTTCTAAGGATTTGGTCCTAAAGCTTCACATTATAGAAACAAAGAAGGTCTGTCAGGGAGGATCAGTTGGTGTTCCAGAATGGAATGCCAAGAGCTCAGCCCAATGGGCCCCTCCCTGCGCCTGCAGGACCCGACAGGGAGGGAGGGGCCCCAGGGAAACGAGTAGGGCGTCCCCTGTCCCCACAACCCAAGTCTGCTTTCCGAAGTTACACAAGTGCTTGGAAGAATTCGGAAGCAAAGGTCTTCAGAGTTTAAAGGCTTCAGAGTGTAAGTGAAGCTTCCTAAAACAAGAAGCCTGGATTAACACCACGAATTGGACTCGTTTCAAAGTCTCTTCTTAGAGAAAATAAATGAAGAAATAAAAAAGAAAATTAAAGGTCACGGAAAATTCACATGCAGCTAAACACTTGAAAATACCAGTACGCACAAAAATCCCAAAAGCGATTTCCTATCTAGGCCTGAGACGCTCCTTATCAGAATAAAGACTCTCCACAGAAAAGACACATGACAAGCCGCGGAGGTGAGTCCTACTCCACGCTCCCTGTGCTGTGTGCAGCCCCCCTGCACACCCCCAGGCACCACAGGAGGCGGAGAAAATAGCTCCAAAGCTGCTTTCAAATTATTTTTTATTGCCCAGGATATTTTTTTCTTGTCTCTTGCTTTTTTTTTTTTTTAGTTTTTGTTTTCTTTTTAATAACTATAAATTCAAGCTTAGAGAAGCTTGTCTTGAGGTCTTGGAAAATAAAACCAAACCAAAACAACAAGGCTCTTTATAGCATCTAGATTTCTACCCTGATCGTAGTTTAAGAGAGATGGTAGTTACATGGCCAGAGTCAAGTTCCTACCATGAATGATACGGGTTCAGTTCTGGGTGCTACAGGAGATGGCGGCATGGTCGACAAAACTATAATCTGCTGGTGGCATTTGCGGAAAAGAAGCCCTTGCAAATTCTAAACAACAGGAAATTCTGTTAGGAAGTGCTAAAGTGTCATACAGGCCCCAGAGGGAACAAGGTTAGTAAAATGCCTCAACCAAGTTTGAATACTGGATTTCAAAGTTACTGGAACTGGATGTGTAAAAACAGGGTGGTAAGTTAGGTCATGCTTGCGATGGTCTCAAGTTCGAATAAACTACGTGACAACACTCCACTCCACAGGCCACGCACATTCCCGGGCTCCTTCTTCCTCAGTAGGTGCTGGCAGAGGGCGTGCTCAAGCGTTTTCCAATATAGATGCTGAAAGGAAGCAGAAGACGCCATGTTTCACGGCTTGCAGTCACCCCAGCTCTTCTGCATAGGTACCTAAATTCTCCAATCCTGAGGTCAAGTGCCCAGTTCCCTAACCCTATCTCTCCTGCCCCCTCTCTGCCTCTTGGGAGTGCTGGGGATTGAACCCAGGGCCTCACACTTAGTAGGCAAGCACTCTATGGCTGAGTTATACTCCCTAGCCCATTGACTTGGAACAACCAGTCACAGCCCAAACTGGTTTTGTGTGACTCAGTTCACTCATGAAGTCTGGCCCTGTCATCACAGGCAGTGTTGACACTGAGCCCAGAGAGCAGGAGCCCTTACCCCACTCCAGAGAAAAGCACAGGCCCATTGGGCATCGGTGGCTCACGCCTGTCATCCTCGCTACTCAGGAGGCTGAGATCTGAGTATCATCATTCAAAGCCAACCCTGGCAGGAAAAGACCATGAGTCTCTTATCTCCAAGAAACCACCAGAAAACCAGAAGTGGTGCTGTGGCTTAAGTGGTAGAACACTAGCCTTGAGCTGAAGAGCTGAGGAACAGCGCCCAGGCCCAGAGTTCAGGCCTCACGACAAAACAAAACAAAACAAAAAAAAAAAAAGAGAGAGAAATATTGTCATAAGCCAAATTACTTCGGTGGAAGTGATTTTAAGAGGCTCTTATGGCCAGGAGCCTGCGGCTCATGCTTGTAATCTTAGCTTCTCAGGAGGCTGAGATCTGAGGATCCTGGTTCAAAGCCAGCCCAGGGAAGAAACGTCCGTGAGACTTATCTCCAAAAAACCACCAGAAAACCAGAAGTGGTGCTGTGGCTCAAGTGGTAGCACCCAGGCCCAGAGTTCAAGCTCCAGCTGCCCAGAAAAAAAGATGACTTTTATAAAATCTCTTAAGGATGAGAGCCTGTCTGATCAAGATTTATTACCCTCACACACTGACAGGCTGAACCCCTTTGTGTAACTGCTTCAAGATAGGAAAAATAAGACTGGGCACCAGTGGCTCATGCCTATAATCCTAGCTACTCAGGAGGCTGAGATCTGAGGTTCACAGTTCAAAGCCAGCTTGGGCAGGAAAGTCTGTGAGACTCTTATCTTCAAATAACCATCAGAAAACCAGAAGTAGTGCAAGTGGTAGAGCATTCACCTTGAGTTGAAGAACTCAGGGATAGTGCCCGGGCCCAGAGTTCAAGCCCCACGACTGACCATAAAAAAAAAAAAAGAAAGAAAGAAAAACAATTGAATTTAAATAGATGAAGAGGCAATACTTTGCTATGCCAAGCAGGAGTTTGAACCCTTCAATAGCCATAAGCAAAGGGAAATTTTAAAAAACAGTAATTAGCTCCACCCAGTAAAAGCTACCACTTTTTTAAGACCTCTTTTTATCTGCATCTATAGCAACACTTACACTTAATTAAGAAAAGAAAAACCGTCTGAAGACTCGTGAAAGCAAGAAATACTGCATAGTACCAAACCCAATCTACTGGGGGCAATGCACAGAGCAGTGAGTAGTAGCCTATTAAACCTCTGCCCTCATCCCACACCCTTCCGGCCCCTCCCGTCCTCTGCAAGCACTCTGCTGCTTGTGAGAGGGCTGCTGTACCAAAAAAGTGGCGTAGAGGCTCCCAAGTGCCTGAATGCCCGAGAGTCTCCGCCGCACTGCAGGCCCTCAGAGAAGGCCCTCCATCTTCCATGTGCCAGACACGGAAAATGACATTTTGAGTGGAGCAGACATGTTTTCTTTCTTTCTTTTTTTTTTGGGTCCGGTCATGGGGGCCTGAGCTCTGGGCCTGGGCACTGTCCCTCAGCTCTTCAGCTCAAGGCTAGCACTCTACCACTTGAGCCACAGCGCCACTTCCGGCTTTTTTCTTTTTGCTTATGTGGTACTGAGGAATTGAACCCAGGGCCTCAGGCACGCAAGGCAAGCGCTCTACCACTGAGCCACGTTCCCAGCCCCAGACATGTTTTCAAAAACGAAGGCCGACTGTGCTCCTGAGCTCCTTCAGAAGTATATTTCCTCCATGTTTAAGGATAAAAGCAATTAATTAAGCTGGGCACCAGTGGCTCACGCCTGTAATCCTGCTACTCAGGAGGCTGAGATCTGAGGATCGCAGTTCAAAGCCAGTCCAGGCAGGAAAGTCTGTGAGACTCCAATAAACCACTAGAGAACCGGAAGTGGCGCTGTGGCTCAAGCGGTAGCGTGCTGAAGATCTGAGGGATAGCGTCCAGGCCCAGGGCCCAGAGTTCAAGCCCCATGACTGACAAAATAAAAAAAGCAATTAATTTACAAGACTTCCCTGAAAAAATCCATCAATTCTAGGTAAATATCAGGCTGATGGGAGAATAATGAAAACGCTGCAAACTTACGAGAGAAATCCAGTCTCCAAGTGCTCACTCTGGAGAAATCTCCCTTTATCAGTCCCCAGATGTACACACCAAAGAGCTCTTACTTTAGAAATTTTTCAAGAACACAAAACTCAAAGAAGAAAACTATGTCATACAAGGGTTAAAAATGACCACTCCAGACTGGGAATGTGGCTTAGTGGTAGAGTGCTTGCCTAGCATGTATGAAGCCCTGGGTTTGATTCTTTAGTACCGCATAAACAGAAAAGGCCAGAAGTGGTGTGTGGCTTAAGTGGTAGAGCACCAGCCTTAAGCACAGAGAGGCTCAGAGACAGAGCTCAGGCCGAAAATTCAAGCCCCAGGACTGGCAAAAAATAAAATAAAATAAAATAACACGTAGGCTGGGAAGGTGGCTCAGTGGTAGAGTGCTTGCCTTGCATGCAGGAGGCCCTGAATTTGATTCCTCAGCATCACATAAGCAGTAAAAGCCGGAAGTGGCGCTGTGACTCAAGTGGTAGAGTGCTAGCCTTGAGAGTTGAGGGACAGTGCCCAGGCTAAGAGTTCAGGCTCCAGGACCAAAATAAATAAATAAATAAATAATCACTTTAGTTGGGCATCAGTGGCTCACATCTATAATCTTAGCCACTAAAGAGGATGAGATCTGAGGACCACAGTTTGAAGCCAGGCCAGGCAGGAAAGTCCTTCTGAGACTCTTACCTCCAATTAACCACTCAAAAACTGGAAGTGGAGGTGTGGCTCCAAGTGGTAGAGCGCTAGCCTTTAGCAAAAAGAACTCTGGCCTTGAGTTCAAGCTCCAAGACTGAAAAAATAAAAACAAAACCAAACAAAACCAAATGAACAAAAACAAAAGATCACCCCCTTTGTATACAATGGGGTGCTGATAGCTCATGCCCGTATGCTTAGCTACTCAAGAGGCTGAGATCTGAATAGTGCTTTGCAGTCAGCTGGGGGAAAAAGGCCCATGAGACTCTTTGAGACTCTTATCTCCAACTAAAAATCACAAGGGGAGCTGCTGTGGAACACTGGCCTTGAGCACAAAAGCTCAGAAACCGTGCCCAGGCCCCAGCTCAGCCCCAAGACCAAAAAACACACAAAAAAACAAAAAAACAAAAACAAAACACTGCCATCGAGTAGACTAGCCTCATACCAGGTTTAGTCATAGTTGTGTTTACCTTGTTTGCACTGTGGCATGAAAGCAGAGCAAGTAGGAAACAAATGCAGACCCTTTAGGAGCTGAGCTGAGGTTTACTTACCCCAGCCCCAAAGCCAGGACATGGGAAAGGAAGAGGGATGGAATGAACACCTTCAGGAACTCTGCAGAGAAAATGCCTCCTTTCTTCATGGCTCCACTTTTCCTCATGCTTAGCGACACGGCACGTTTAGGGTGCCTGAAGTGGAACTCCCTGGAAAAGAGATTCAGTGGCAGGTGTGAGAAACGTGTGCTGAACAGCTTGGAGAGCTGCAGCAGCCCCCTGCATGTAGGCAGACATGTGGGAGGACTTACTTGGGGGGAATGTTCTCAGGTCTACTGGACCAGTCTGATACCCAATCTGCACTTTTCTTCAAAGATTCTGCTTCCTTCTCTCCTTCTCCAGCTTCTTCTTCTGACTGCAGAGAACAAGTTAAATGTTCAGAGACAAGTCTGGACAAAACACTAAACACAGAAGGCTGTACATGGTAATTTAATGTAAGAAATGGGTTGTTTTCCTACAGAAATTGGTAAAGTGCGCTAAGAGGGCAGAGTACCTTAAAAAGGACTCGAGTGAGCCTGTAACTGCTGTTGTAGCTCAGCAGAGACTACCAACCTGACAACCACTGTATAGAGACAGATCTTCCAAAGTGTGGGACATGGGTGGTGTTCACATGGAGTTTCATGTGTCAGCTCATTTTCATAAGCATGTAAAGTTTCTACAGCTGAGAAGACTGAGGGCACTGATTCAGAAGGACGTGCTAACAAAACACGGTGTAAGAAAGCTGAGACCTGGGGCTGGGAAGGCGGCTTAAATGCATAGTACTTGGGGCTGGGAAGGTGGCTCAGTGGTAGAGTGCTTGCCCTGCATGCTTGAGACCCTGAGTTTGATTCCTCAGCACCACATAAGCAGAAAAAGCCATAAGTGGCGCTGTGGCTCAAGTGGTAGAGCACTAGCTTTGAGCTGAAGAGCTGAGAGATAGCGCCTAGGCCCAGAGTTCAGGCCCCAGGACTGGCAAAAAAAAGAAAAAAGAAGAAAAGAAAGAAAAAGAAAATGCAAATAAAACACTGAGATTCCATTTTACTCCAGTCAAGATGGACATCATTGAGACCACAAACAACAAGTGGCAAGAATGTGAAAAAAAGGGGCTGGGAAGGTGGCTCAGTGGTAGAGCGCTTGCCTTGCATGCCTGAGGCCCTGGGTTTGATTCCTCAGTATCACATAAGCAAAAAGAAAAAAGCCGGAAGTGGCGCTGTGGCTCAAGTGGTAGAGCGCTAGCCTTGAGCTGAAGAGCTGAGGGACAGCGCCCAGGCCCAGAGTTCAGGCCCCACGACTGGACCCCCCCCAAAAAAAAAGCATAGTACTTGCCTAGCATGCATGAGGGTTCCACTCCTCAGTACCACATACACAGAAAAAGCCAGAAGTAACACTGTGATTCAAGTGTAGTTTGGTGCCTTGGGTTCAAGCCTCCATAATGGTACCAAAAAAGAAGTTGAGACGTGGCTTAGGTAGCTTCCCTGGGACTCCACAGCCCCTGATGCACACGCGTCAGAAGCACTGGCCTCACGGTGCCCACTACTCGTGTGTTTGCAGTGCTGGGACTGAACTCAGAGCCATGCTCCCAATCCTTTTTTATTTTTTCCTTCAACCTTTGTCTTACGTTTCTCCAGGCAAGTCTCAAACTATGATCCTCCTACCTTTCTACTTTAGCTGGGATTCCAGTCATGTACTACCAGGAGCAGCTTATTTTTTAAATAGTGTCATTTTGTTCAGGCCGGCTGAATTACAATCCTTCAATTTCTGCCTTTTGAATAACTAGGATTACAAGTATGCACTGTCAACATCTGGCCCTAACACCCAAACAACTCTTTACTCGCTAAATCATAATTTTTAGACAAATTACTACTCAAACTTCTCTCAAAGATTTGAAACTATGTTGGCCCAAAGTGTTTTTTTTTTTTTAATAATCTATTTTAAACAGAGTCAGGCTTTAACATGTACTAACACCAAATAAATGAAAAAGAAAAGAAAAAATTTTTTTGGGTCTGGTCGTGGAGCCTGAACTCTGGGCCTGGGCACTGTCCCTCAGCTCTTCAGCTCAAGGCTAGCACTCTACCACTTGAACCACAGCGCCACTTCCGGCTTTTTTCTTTTTTATGTGGTGCTGAGGAATTGAACCCAGGGCCTCAGGCATACAAGGCAAGCGCTCTGCCACTGAGCCACCTTCCCAGCCCCCAAGAAATTATTATTATTGCTAAAGATAACCTAAACCTTCAGATTCAGGCTAAGAATAACTGATGTTTCCAAAAGCCTTCTTTTCTGGCATGAGACAGGGTCTTGCTATATATCCCAGGCTGGCCTTGATCTTGTGATCCTCCTGCCTCGGCCTCCTGAGTGCTGGGACTGCAGGTGCACACCACCTGCCTTGAAGCTTCTCTTTCAATAGAACCCAGGGGAATGAGAACTTCCTAAAACGATCACAGTACTACTTTACGGAATGTGGGGTTATGACCACAAACCCAAGGCTCTCCAAGTGGGCGGCTTCCTCCAGGGCAGAGCCTTCCTTCTTTGTGGTAGGTAGCTGAGGAGTGGCCTGCCATGCTATGCGCATTCTCTTTGACTGGCCTGGCTCTTGGTGACAAAGCTGTCTCGGGAAGGGGCTTTAGACAGGCGCCCCTTCACTAGCAAATCCCTGTGGTGTGTGCTGCACAGTCAGTGTCATCTCATCGACTTCTGCCGAACTTGGCACATTCCAGCACACGGGACAATGCAGCATTTAGGACTGAGCTTTTCCCACTGAGCACAGAGATTACTCAGAATCATGAGTTGGCTCTTTGGAGTAACACTGAAATCACCCTAAACCAAACACAATCAACTGTTACAATTTACATACAGATCAGTTTGTGAGCTCACAGTATCTGACTCTTCCACACATTCTGCGGTTCACTTTTGCTTGTTTTGTCCTGTGATGTTGGGGATGGGGACAAGCTCTACCAGTGCACTGTCCTGAGTTCCTCCCCACCTGCGGTGCTTGTGAACGAGTCAGTATCTCATATTTGCCAACAGAGTGAACATGCACTAAGACTGTATGCACTAGATTTTCTCCAAGGCGATGTGATTTTTCTCTCAGCTCAATGAAGCCAAGTTGTCTTTGGATTACAATTTTCTCAAAACCCCAAACTTGGGATAAATTCTAAACTTCACCTTCTGCTTCATGTTGTGAACCATCTGCCACTTTCAGGCCTGAAACCACCTTCCAATTCTTGGAATTCCTGATTAGGTCATTCTTTTAGCAGTCTGTGGATGTGTCTATGACCTGAACACCACGATCATATACACAGTTGTCCAAGATGGAAGAAGAGATAATTCCTAGTCAGGATCACCTTCCAACAACATCTAACATTGTACTGGCCATCCCAAAACATCATCAAAAGCATCTTCAAGAGACCATGTGTAGTCAGTTTTTGGCACAGAATGGACTTTTTTCCTAAAGGCGCTGCCTTAGAACTCCCACACCACAGTCTGGCAGACCTCGGTTAGATCGGCTGTACATCCTTGGATCCCTCCTGAGACGGCGTCCATTCAGTGCTCAAGGAAGAGGTGAGGCCACAGGCTCAGACCCGTTTACAATCTAGCTCTACGCTTACCTGCTTTGTCATCTCAGGAAGTAACTTAATTAGGACAACCCTCACCTTTTCCAATTGTCCATGAACATAATGTGAAAGATATTTTTAAAATAAACTTAGCACCTAGAACAGATGAGGCAAATGTCAGTGCCTTTCCTCCGCTCTCCCAGAAAAGCTTGAGAATAATGATTCCAAGCCTCTAAGATGAAGCACAGGCAAGTTCTTCACCCATATTATGTTCTTTTGTGGTACTGGATTCAAACTCAGGACTCTGCATTTGCAAGGTAGGCACTCTCCCACCAAGCTCACCTCCAGGCCTGTATGTGCTAGTTAATTTTAATAAGGTCTTGTTTCCTGTACACTTGGCCTGCAATCCATCTATTTTAGTCTTCCTGTGTGAGCCGAAATGACAGGCACACACCACCATGCTCAGCTTCTGGTGAGGTATGAAATGACAGGCACACACCACCATGCTCAGCTTCTGGTGAGGTATGTTATTGTAGACTTTTCTGCTAGAGATTCTTCTTCCAATCTCTGCTTCCCACAGTGCTTAGGATGACAGGTGAATACCACTAGCCCAGCAGGGTCTATGAACTTTTCTGCCACTGTCCTAGAACTGCGATCCTCACAGTCTCAGCCTCCTGAAAGTAGCTAGGATTACAGGGCCAGGCCCATCAACTATTCTTATTGCTTTTTTTTTTTTTGGATCCAGTTGTGGGGCTTGAACTCTGGGCCTGGGAGCTGTCCCTCAGCTCTTCAGCTCAAGGT